GCTTCTGCCCACATGTTCCAAAAAATACATCCTTCCACTCAGTGTCGTTCCAGGTTCATTAACTGTATTTGCATCTTGGGTTTAACAATTTGTCATTGTGAAAATTTACTAACCACGATCCATTTTTTAATGTTTGGTACTTAAACTAATGAACATGTAAAATATATTATTCATTGGCACAACATTTTATACAAAGGTCTGTGGCTCCTAGAAGTTAAACTTATCTTTGCCACAGATATGATATGAAATTGTATCTGTGGTTTTAAGTGAAATGCAAAACTATCGTCTGACACGTAGTTTATAAATGAATAATTTCACAATATGAAGCACGCTGGAGAGGAAACAAGCCTTTCTGTAAAATACTTGGTTACCAAATACTGTGGCAATAGTTTGGGACATTGAACTGTGTTGTACTAACCTTCTAAAATGAAGCTAAACGAGTAATCATCACACAATAATGGGAAGTAGGCTGGGCTTAACCAAGCATGTGTGACACACTGGAAGTGACAGTAGCTCTGGCTGTGTCCCACCAACCTGCAGTGGTTCTTAGACTGTCAGGTGGGCCACTTTAGTGGTGCATGGAGCCAACTGCAGAAGGAGCATTGAAGAACCAGTCAGTATAACCCAAAATGGATCACCATTAACTCAGCAGGGAAGTGTTTGCAGAGGTCAAGAATGACGTTTTCCTATGGACCCATATAGTGCTGCAAGACTTTTTATATCTATCACTGGCTGCTGCCCTTTAGATAGAAGCAGATTTGAGGCATTTCTGCATTGGCTAAATTTTTCCATTGAGAATCTACGTTTGTGTCCAGTTAAATGGGGTTTAAGTCTGGAGACTGTGCTGGCCATCACCATCTTGTTCTTTTTCCTGAGGTAGTTCTGGCACAGCTTGGACTTATGTTTTGGGTCATTATCTTGCTGTAGGATGAGCCCCTGACCAACTAGGTCCATACCACAGGGTACTGCATGGTATCTGTTTTGGTTCAGGGAGCCTGTCACTCAGACTATCACACTTCCTCCTCCATGTTTGACAGTTGATGACACACACTGTGGAACCATCCTTTCACCTACTTGACGGCGTACATAGAGCTGTGTGATGAACCGAAGAGTTCAAATTTTGATTCATCAAAATAATAATACCTTCCTCCAGTCCTCAGTAGTCTTTGTCTTATCCTGAAATCTTACTGATGGCTTTCTTCCTGCAGCTCGAAGTTTCTCTTCACAGCTGAAACTGAGACTTGCTCACTACAGCCACTATTAAGCTGCTTGAAGCTGTTGTCCTGTGAGCCGCCTATTGCACAAGCTGTTAACTCTCAGAAACATGTCCTCTGATTCAGTCGTGTCTTTGGGTCTGCAGACCTCTTCCTGTCAGTTTGTTTCTGAGTGTGTTTGATGTGAAGGAAACTGTACTCATTGACACCTTGACTTTCTTTGCAGTTTCTCTGTAGGACAGACCTACATTTATAAGTGTTATGATATTATTTCTCTTCCATTGTTAGTTGCCATTTTCTCACCATTTTTGTAGCAACACACTACTTTCTGCAGTACAATACTGTTCAACTGATGAACACGAGGGTCTGGCACCACAGTGTGTTTAAAATGGCGATGGCTAACCAACAGGGACACTAGTGGTAGACAAGCAGAGGAAGACGGCTGTAGTAATAGACGTAGCGATACTGAATGACAGCAACAATCGAGAAGCTCAAGAAGTACCAAGGGCTCTTCTCTGAGCCCTTGGTACTTCTCCACAGGGGCAGAGGGGGAATTTTGGGGGGTTTTTTTATAGCTTGTTAATTTAAATTGTTGTGATTTTTGATTTAGGTCAAATGAACAAGCTGCTGCCTACGGAGGCTCCTCGTATCACCACAGAGTTGCACCACAGAGGCCATCATCATCAGCATCATCATAGGCATGGGTATGATTTACTGAGAGATTTTTCTGTTAATAGCAATCATATTAATATTATCATTATTAATAATAATACATTTAAGAATAAATAAAATGATAAGACTATAAAAAAATCAAAAGCAGAGGATTCATGTGACAGGATGAGGAATTAAACCAATTTAAAGGGGCGTGTTTTGAGACGGGATGTGAAGATGGAGAGAGTCTGAATGTCTGGCGAGATGGAATTCCAGAGGCGAGGAGCAGAGCAGTAGAAGGTCTAGATCCCATAAAAGCCAAACGGGGGAAGGGACGTTCACACGGACAGAAGAAGACAAAAACTCTTTGTCATAAATATGCTGTGTGCTTCTTTTCTTCCATAGTTTTGCAAAATCATCTAATATCAGTATTAAGATTTTAAATTTAATTTCAGCCACCAAAGATATTTACATAAACAAGCTAGATAAACAATAGATAGATTTTGTAAACAGGAAAATGTTTACAGTGCTAAGTTAACAGCTAATGCTAGCAAGCTCCGTCTGAAACAGTCGCAACAGACAGACATTAGTTACCATCTGAGGACAAAGAGTATGGCTGTGCTGTCTACTGTTAACCAGATGAAAGCCTGACATTCCTTTAACAAGTATCCCTGTGTGCTTCTGTCCTTCAGCCCCTCCATAGATCACTGCAACACCAGTTTTGATGCTGTGGCAAAGATTCGAGGAGAGACTTTCTTCTTCAAAGGTCTGAAAACAGATTTTTATAAATGTAGTTTATGTAGTTTAACTATGGAAGATGTATCTATAGTAACAGGATACCACAATTCATTATTTTCATTGGGTCATTGCTTCAGGTCAGATGATGTGGAGGGTCAATGGCGGAGGCTTGGTGTCGGGGCGCGGCTCTTCAGTAAGGAGGTTGTGGAGGGGTCTGCCCCCTGACCTGCTTCATCTTCAAGCTGTGCTGGAGAGGCGCTCGGATCATGCTATCATCTTTATCAGTGGTACAGTACAGTAACCTACCTGTGAGAGGGGTAAAACGGTGAAAAGGCCACAACAGTCAGTGCAGATTACGCACCATAGCTGGCTAAAATTGTTACTAAAACTGTTTAAAAAAATCAAAGAAGATTCCTTATTTCTTTATTTCTGTAACAATTGATTGACATGAGGTTTCTTTTTTAGCTCATATCTCTTCTAGCCTTTACATTTTGCACACTGAATGTGTTCTTCAAAATTGTCTTTTTCATAAAATTTGCCTGTAGCCATTCCTGGATTACTTTTCAAGCACGCAGTGATACGTTTGAGAGATAGTGATGTCTTCAGAAAGCAGAACTTGTTGAGATTTATGAGATTATTACTTACTTCCTGCTACTTTCAGAAGACCTACATGCACCTGTCCTATAGCATCTTTGAACATCTCCTACAGTTTGACTGTAGATTACATTTTCTATAACCAAAATACTTTTAGCATAGTTAAGGACCAAATTCTCCAACATCAAAACGGATGTGTCCAATTATTAAACTTTATCTGGCCTTCAGGTTTTTAAACCTTTCTTTCCTTCTTATTTCTTTGGCAACAGACATCCACTGCCTAGAACATGCATGCAATGATAAAATAAATGAGAGTGTAAATACAAAATAATACATCAAAGCAGTCACAGAAACAATCGATGGTGTTTCACTGCGAATCATCAAACTGACTTACTAACCTTACATGTGACGTCTCGCTGCAGGTCACCAGTTCTGGCTCTTCAAGGACCTTTCTCTGCAAGAAGGTTACCCTCAGCCCCTGTCTGCTCTCAGGACGGGCGTCAGCTTAGATTTAGCAGACACTGATAACGACGATGATGACGAGCAGGCAGCAGGAGCATTAGAGAGATGGGGCCTGGTCTGGGACCCGGAGGAGGGGGCTGTGTGGGGAAAAATTGGAGATGCCAAACAAGAGAATCAAGGAGACACGTGGACACAACTACTTAAAGAGGGTGTGAATGGAATCACTACAGACACTAATGGTGAGCATCTGATTCATGTGTGAGATCTTTCTATTAAAGGATCAAATAAATGGACAAAGTTGACTTAATTTAACTAGAACCAGACTAAATTCAGTGAAGTTTCTTTTCTTCCTCTCCAGGCTCTGTCTATCTCTTTAAAGGAGAGTCCTACTGGAAGTTCATGTTTCCAGGTTCATCACTGCATGATGGATACCCACGATCCTCTGCTGCAGACTGGCTGGGCTGCACTGACTCATCCTCACCTGGGATGCAGGACCTCTCCTTCTCACTGTCATCACCTGGAGGAAGAGAGGAGCTCAGGGAGAGTTGGAGATATCGGGGAGAGGAGGAAGAACTGATAAAAAGAAAGCGGGTCAGAGACAGAACTAAACACAAAGAGGTGCTGGACAGAGGTTCACACATCTGGACAAAATGCACATGCCGAAACGGAGCCCTGGGAGGCAGGACGACATTTTTGATAGCTGCCTTGCTGCAGGTTACATGGGCACTGTTAGCTGTTTAAAGGCGCACAATGAAAGAAAAACTGAGGTTTTACTAGAAAAAAGAGAGTGTGTACAACCTTTCCACAAGCACTCGCATCCTCGCCCTGTACTCCTGTCTGAGTGTGAGATTAGAAATGTGCTGCTGGTTTCAGGTAGCAGTGGTGCTAATTACGAGTGCTATTTTAATCAGGAGGCATATTTATTTACCTGTCCACCAGTCACCCGGTCATATTGTGAGTTATGACCAGAAAACTGGTTCCATCTGTGAAGGACTGAAGTTGCCAAAATCAATTATTAACAAAAACAACAACAATAATAATAAATAATAATAATACTAATAATAATAATCACACAGACATTAACTGACTGATAATTTGACATGTTTGTATTTACAGATATCAGTGTTTTAAATGTATGTATGGATCTCTGTATTACTTTTCTTTTACATTCATACTTTACAGAAATACTAATCTATCCCAGGCATCACAGACACTCACCACACTCGAAGATTGAAGTGGTTTGGGGAAGTTAAAATTAAAGAGATCGTTTTTGATATATTTTTGATAATATTTTAATTTCAGTTTGACCAGTTTCACCTGCATAGTTCACCCCAAATCCACCGTAGCTTTTAAACTAAGTTTCTCTTTATACAGACAAAAAGTGGAGTAGTGGCTTTATTAAGTGGTTTTATCATTTCACCTTCCTGGTTAATTTCTCTTATTGCCGTCCCATAGGTAACAGTCTGCAAGCACACACTGTTTAAAAATAAGGATAAAAATCTATGAAGAAGGAAAATAAATTACTTTTTTTTTTTTTTATCAAAGCCTAAGTTTACTGCAGTTGAACACAACCTCCAACAGGGCAATCAGTGATGGATGTAGCCTTTAGCATGCAGCAGATTTGAGCAGTGTAAATGTACACCAACCAATTTGCACTTTTAATAACTCAAAGGGCAGCTGATACTGACTCAGGTGACATCACTTAAGGACAGCTATCAAACTTAAAAACATTATCCTGCCACATATTTCAGGTTCAAGGTTCTTTATTCGTCACATGCATAGTTATAACACACAATGAAATGTAACCTGACACGCTCCTTGACTTGAGCAAAAGGGGCGGGGCGGGGACGGGACGGGACATTATATAATATATAATATAATATATACATTAGGTGGATGTGCAGTAGTAGCATGTATGCAGCAAGCAGGTAAATTCAGTACATTAAGTGAATTAAATAAGAACAGACAATCACTTCTGAACACAAAACAACACATGAGAGAAATAGTTTGAGCTCTACTTTCTGACCATTTATTTTTACCCATTTTCCATTCATCTTAACAGCATTTACATAAACGATGCATTTTAATGATGTCGTTTTTGATGAAGTATTCTCTTAGAAAAAGCATTTCTTACTGCGTCTTCCCTCCTCTGTCTCTTGTTGTTAGAGGTTGTTGTTCTGGCCTGCTGCTGGTATTTCACATGCTTTTTACTTAGTTCGATGTGCTTATGAGCCCTTCTGTTATTTAAAGACTGCCTGCTTGTTCTGAACTCAGTCAAAAGTTTGATGATGACATTCCTGTAAATAGGGTTTGAAATGAACTGAAATATGTCAACTTTTGTCAAAGCATCCTGCAGCTGCTGCTTCAACTCCATAATCCACAACAAACGGGGAATATAGTAGAAAAATGATCAGTAACTCTAAGTGTGTTTCATATTTGAGATTCCTGAGAGGAGCCACCCTTTGCTTTGTTGACAGTGCAAACCCTTGCACTTTTCTCACTGAGCTTCATGACGTTGTCACCTGAAATGGTTTCACGCCACAGGTTTGCCTTGTCAGGGTTCATCTCTGGAATTTCTTGCCTTCTTCGTGGATTTTGGGATCATCAGTGCAGAAGTCAGGTTGGTACACAGCTGACAGCCCTGTTTAACAACTGTTAGAATTCATATTATGGCAAGAACCAATCAGGTTTCTTGTGAATGCTTCCAGTGACAATAGCCATCTGCAGCCACAAGATGGCAGGTATGTAAAGGATAGATACAAACAGACAAGGAGCTTTATGATGCTGAAATGAAAGGTGAGAGATCATTTTTACTGTAGTACATTTTAGTTTATGACTATTTTTAGATTTGATTA